CCTGGGGGTGGAGGCCTGGTCGAGGACCGGGCCGCGGGGATACTAAAACCCCAAAATCATCTCAAGATAATCATACTCTAGGGGAATGGGGCACAGTGGGTATTGGTCATAACCCATACATACTAGAGCACAGTAGGCTCAGAAACCTGTACATCTGTTGATTGACAGTTGAGAGGCGGGACCAAAGAGCCAGAGCTCAACCCCAGCAAGCACAACTAGGTGAGTACCCCATGCCCCCATACCTATATACCAGGTGTGGCATCTATATAGTAGGCATATAAAAACACGCGCGTATTTTAATGGCATGTTGAGTCAAAATTTCAAAGCAATCGGTAAAGAGGTTTCGAAGATTTCCCTCACATAAAAAAAAAACACATGAAAAACACAGTTTGTAAAAAAAATCATGTTTTTTACCTGTCACAGGCGTGACATCTATATAGTAGGCATATAAAAACCCGCTCGGATGCGAATGGAACGTTGTGTCAAAATTTCAAGGTGAAGAACTTTCAGAGATCAGCGATTTTGAACAAACGAACATATACATTTTTATTTATATAGATATATATATATATTTTAAGGGAGAGGTTGGTACTTTGACACGGGAGTGGGGAGGGGAGGGGGAGGACAAGGGGGTGAGGGGGAAGAGGGAGTAGGGAGGGGGAGGCTAGTGGGGGTGTTAAACAAGCAATTTGATTAAATCCAGCTGTATGTGAACAATAGGGGGGGGGGGGAGGTTAGGGGATAGGGGGGGGGGTGGATGGTTGTTGTTCTGGAGTGAAATAATTATCCTAATTGCATCCTTGGATACGAATGAGTCACACCTCTTGCCAGTGTGTTGTATTGAACTCAAACTACCCTTCCAAACATCAGGTCATTTGGGAAGGCATCGGACGAGGGAGTGGGGAATGGTGGGGAGGACGAGGAGACGGGGGTGGGAAATGGTGGGGAGGACGAGGAGACGGGGGTGGGGATTGGTGGGGAGAGCCCTCTTCCCTCCTATCCCCTATCCCCCTAACCTCCTCCCCCTACCACTCCTCCCCCCCTACCCTCCTCCCCCTCTCCCTCCTAACCCCACCCCCTCTCCGGTGAGAAAGGAAGGGGGGGGGGGGGGAATAACTCACTTGTCTGTTTCCATCCCTTCACGTTTTGACATGTCATCTGTCACTGTCAATCACCGGACACGTGTTGTCAAGGGATAGTTCGTCCAAGGAGTAGATAGGTCTTGACAGGAGAGTGGACACCTGTCTTGACCCTCACACACACCTGTATTGACCCCCATACACACCTGTATTGACCCCCATACACACACCTGTATTGACCCCCCATACACACACCTGTATTGACCCCCCATACACACCTGTATTGATCCCTATACACACCTGTATTAACCTCCAATGATAGTCTGATTAAAACCATCCATCCAAGGATAGTGTGATCCATCTGTATCCACCGTGATGAGTTCTTGTCATCTGGTTTGATGAGCCACAGTTGTATTCTGTATGAGTGTGTGGAAGAGAGAGAGAGAGAGAGAGAGAGAGAGAGAGAGAGATGTACTTTTCTCGTATTCAGTGGTGAAGTATTTACCACTGAATACAATACAAGAATACAGTACCAGAATACAGGAATGTGGAGAAGGGGGCAGCCTAAGGTAATATACAGAGGAGGAATACAGTATCATACAGGAGTCGAACGTGTTGAATTGGTGGCCAAGATAGCGGTTGGTTATGTATTTGGTTATCTTCACACCCCAGATATCTTATTGTGCTTAAGGTGATGATATCTAGTGGTGTGTAAACTGGATGGGTGGTTGTGGTTGTTGTGGTGGTAGGTGTGTGGTAGTGGTGGTGGTGGTGGCAGGTGTGTGGTAGTGGTGGTGGTGGTGGCAGGTGTGTGGTAGTGGTGGTGGTGGTGGCAGGTGTGTGGTAGTGGTGGTGGTGGTGGCAGGTGTGTGGTAGTGGTGGGTGTGGTGGCAGGTGTGTGGTAGTGGTGGTGGTGGTGGCAGGTGTGTGGTAGTGGTGTTGGTGGTGGCAGGTGTGTGGTAGTGGTGGGTGTGGTGGCAGGTGTGTGGTAGTGGTGGTGGTGGTGGCAGGTGTGTGGTGGTGGTGGCAAGGGTGTGGTAGTGGTGGTGGTGGTAGGAAAGGTGTTGCAAAGCCGCCCGTCCGTTGCAATCATCACACTAAATTCGTTTTCAGCAACAATGGTGTGGCAGGACAGGGAAAAAAACAAGACTTGGTCTATTTTCCCTGAGAAAAACAATGTTTCAAGAGTATGATTTGTTTTTTTCCTGGTTTGTGACTGGGTAGAGGAAGGCGAAATACTTCGGCCATTTTTGTGACGTAATGGTGTATTGGCCCCGGGATTGGCTGAGGCATATGTGACGTATTGATGTATTGGTTCGGGATTGGCTGAGGTTCTCTTGAGTATATGTGACGTAATGATGTATTGTTCCGGGATTGGCTGAGGCATATGTGACGTAATGATGTATTGGCCCGGGATTGGCTGAGGAATATGTGACGTAATGCTGTATTGGCTCGGGATTGGCTGATTATCCCCTGAGATATATGTGACGTAATGATCAAAATACACCTCATTCGTCCTGGAAATGTGTGACGTCATTAATAGCCTGAAATTGAGTCCGTTTTCCTTCGCGTAAATTGATACAATTTCCTGATTGGCTTAAAATTTTGAAACCTTCCTACCAATCAGGACGTTCTACTGATTTTCCACTCCGTAACAAACCTGACCTGTTTAGCCTCCGTTGTTGAGGAGAGTAGGCCATTTAGGCCTACTGTCTAGGCCTATTATTTAGTTTATAAGTGAAAGCACTTTACACTGGACCAGAATATATCGTTATAGATATATTCCAGCTTTAGCTGTTGGGACTGCATGCCGGCGGATGGTCATGGAGCCCGCTGTGGAGTGGTATTAGTACTAGATAGCCGGTTGGGTGACCCTTGGCTGCCCAGGTTCGAATCCTTGAAGGGGGGGCCATTCAGTTAATATTCCGTGTATAGCGTATTAAAGAGGGTTAATGGTCAGAGCTGGAGCGAAGGGGGAGGAGCTGGTTAATGGGATTAATGGCGAGGCAGTATTCTTCAAAGTTCCGTACCTGGCACAACCTCGTGGACACCCAGAAGTTGGTCCCCATAACACAAGGCGCTCAGCCGTCACCAGGAACACCCAGAAGTTGGTCCCCATAACACAAGGCGCTCAGCCGTCACCAGGAACACCCAGAAGTTGGTCCCCATAACACAAGGCGCTCAGCCGTCACCAGGAACACCCAGAAGTTGGTCCCCATAACACAAGGTGCTCAGCCGTCACCAGGAACACCCAGAAGCTGGTCCCCATAACACAAGGCGCTCAGCCGTCACCAGGAACACCCAGAAGTTGGTCCCCATAACACAAGGCGCTCAGCCGTCACCAGGAACACCCAGAAGTTGGTCCCATAACACAAGGGCGCTCAGCCGTCACCAGGAACCACCCAGAAGTTGGTCCCATAACACAAGACGCTCAGCCGTCACCAGGAACACCCAGAAGTGGTCCCCATAACACAAGGCGCTCAGCCGTCACCAGGAACACCCAGAAGTTGGTCCCCATAACTCAAGGCGCTCAGCCGTCACCAGGAACACCCAGAAGTTGGTCCCCATAACACAAGGCGCTCAGCCGTCAACAGGAACACCCAGAAGCTGGTCCCATAACTCAAGGCGCTCAGCCGTCAACAGGAACACCCAAAAGTTGGTCCCCATAACTCAAGGCGCTCAGCCGTCACCAGGAACACCCAGAAGTTGGTCCCCATAACACAAGACGCTCAGCCGTCACCAGGAACACCCAGAAGTTGGTCCCCATAACACAAGACGCTCAGCCGTCACCAGGAACACCCAGAAGTTGGTCCCCATAACTCAAGGCGCTCAGCCGTCACCAGGAACACCCAGAAGTTGGTCCCCATAACACAAGGCGCTCAGCCGTCAACAGGAACACCCAGAAGCTGGTCCCCATAACTCAAGGCGCTCAGCCGTCAACAGGAACACCCAAAAGTTGGTCCCCATAACTCAAGGCGCTCAGCCGTCACCAGGAACACCCAGAAGTTGGTCCCCATAACACAAGACGCTCAGCCGTCACCAGGAACACCCAGAAGTTGGTCCCCATAACACAAGACGCTCAGCCGTCACCAGGAACACCCAGAAGTTGGTCCCCATAACTCAAGGCGCTCAGCCGTCGCCAGGCTCAATAGAGTGCAAGTCAACCAGCCGTATGAAGGCTCTGTCACCCCTGATGGCATTAAATTTAATTTATTCATAATCGATGCAAATAATAAACTCGTCAAATTGGTTTCTAAGGGCTGTCAGTTGAACTGATGCCGGATAACAGCTCTTGCTTGCATTTTCACTAGGAAAATGAATGCCATTCTTCATGAACTAAAATCTTAGTAAAAAAACAAATATAGGGAGGAATTAGAGATGAAAGAAGGGGGTGAGAGAGAGAGAGAGAGAGAGAGAGAGAGAGAGAGAGAGAGAGAGAGAGAGAGAGAGAGAGAGAGAGAGAGAGAGAGAGAGAGAGGTGAGAATTATCAACCACTGAGTGACGCTGTTATGGAAGGGGGGGGTGTTATGGTGAGGGGGGGGGGGAGGAGAAGTGGAAGGGGTGGGAGGGGCAGGTAGAGAGGCTGGCAGAATAGGGGAGGGAGGACTTGAATAGGGAGAGGAAGGAAAAGGAGGAGGGAAAGAATAGGGTGTGAAGAGTGGCCGTGTTGGTGATTGTCGAGTAGTGAGCAGGGGAGTGGAGAGGTGGCTCCTCTCTCTCTCTCTCTCTCTCTCTCTCTCTCTCTCTCTCTCTCTCTCTCTCTCTCTCTCTCTCTCTCTCTCTCTCTCTCTCTCCTCTCTCTCTCTCTCTCTCTCTCTCTCTCTCTCTCTCTCTCTCTCTCTCTCTCTCTCTCTCTCTCTCTCTCTCTCTCTCTCTCTCACCCAAGAAGCATGAGTAACGAGTATGTGTTCTCCCTACAGATGAGTAACGTGTGTGTCAGCGGCAGGTGAGGCACCTCAGGAAGGCAGCGGCAGGATGGCAGTCCGGATGGCACTTCTCCTGGTGGCACTCCTCACGCCGGCAACCTTCTCCCTGGCAACGGGCATCAAAGGTAAGACCTACGGCACACTGCCGCCTTCACAGCAGTGAAGGCGGCAGTCTTCACTAATTCGCCTTCACAGGGGGCCTCGTAGCCTGGTGGATAGCGCGCAGGATTCGTAATTCTGTGGCGCGGGTTCGATTCCCGCACGAGGCAGAAACAAATGGGCAAAGTTTCTTTCACCCTGAATGCCCCTGTTACCTAGCAGTAAATAGGTACCTGGGAGTTAGTCAGCTGTCACGGGCTGCTTCCTGGGGGTGTGTGTGTGGTGTGGAAAAAAAAAAAAAAAAAAAAGTAGTTAGTAAACAGTTGATTGACAGTTGAGAGGCGGGCCGAAAGAGCAAAGCTCAACCCCCGTAAAAACACAACTAGTAAACACAGACCAACTTCTGGGTGTTCCTGGTGACGGCTGAGCGCCTTGTGTTATGGGGACCAGCTTCTGGGTGTTCCTGGTGACGGCTGAGCGCCTTGTGTTATGGAGACCAACTTCTGGGTGTTCCTGGTGACGGCTGAGCGCCTTGTGTTATGGGGACCAACTTCTGGATGTTCCTGGTGACGGCTGAGCGCCTTGAGTTATGGGGACCAGCTTCTGGGTGTTCCTGGTGACGGCTGAGCGCCTTGTGTTATGGAGACCAACTTCTGGGTGTTCCTGGTGACGGCTGAGCGCCTTGAGTTATGGGGACCAGCTTCTGGGTGTTCCTGGTGACGGCTGAGCGCCTTGTGTTATGGAGACCAACTTCTGGGTGTTCCTGGTGACGGCTGCGCGTCTTGTGTTATGGGGACCAGCTTCTGGGTGTTCCTGGTGACGGCTGAGCACCTTGTGTTATGGGGACCAACTTCTGGGTGTTCCTGGTGACGGCTGAGCGCCTTGTGTTATGGGGACCAACTTCTGGGTGTTCCTGGTGACGGCTGAGCACCTTGTGTTATGGGGACCAACTTCTGGGTGTTTCTGGTGACGGCTGAGCGCCTTGTGTTATGGGGACCAACTTCTGGGTGTTCCTGGTGACGGCTGAGCACCTTGTGTTATGGGGACCAGCTTCTGGGTGTTCCTGGTGACGGCTGAGCGCCTTGTGTTATGGGGACCAACTTCTGGGTGTTCTGGTGACGGCTGAGCACCTTGTGTTATGGGACCAACTTCTGGGTGTTCCTGGTGACGGCTGAGCGCCTTGTGTTATGGGGACCAGCTTCTGGGTGTTCCTGGTGACGGCTGAGCGCCTTGTGTTATGGGGACCAACTTCTGGGTGTTCCTGGTGACGGCTGAGCGCCTTGTGTTATGGGGACCAACTTCTGGGTGTTCCTGGTGACGGCTGAGCGTCTTGTGTTATGGGGACCAACTTCTGGGTGTTCCTGGTGACGGCTGAGCGTCTTGTGTTATGGGGACCAACTTCTGGGTGTTCCTGGTGACGGCTGAGCGCCTTGTGTTATGGGGACCAACTTCTGGGTGTTCCTGGTGACGGCTGAGCGTCTTGTGTTATGGGACCAACTTCTGGGTGTTCCTGGTGACGGCTGAGCGCCTTGTGTTATGGAGACCAGCTTCTGGGTGTTCCTGGTGACGGCTGAGCGCCTTGTGTTATGGGGACCAGCTTCTGGTGTTCCTGGTGACGGCTGAGCGCCTTGTGTTATGGGGACCAGCTTCTGGGTGTTCCTGGTGACGGCTGAGCGCCTTGTGTTATGGGGACCAGCTTCTGGGTGTTCCTGGTGACGGCTGAGCGCCTTGTGTTATGGGGACCAGCTTCTGGGTGTTCCTGGTGACGGCTGAGCGCCTTGAGTTATGGGGACCAACTTATGGGTGTTCCTGGTGACGGCTGAGCGTCTTGTGTTATGGGGACCAGCTTCTGGGTGTTACTGTTGACGGCTGAGCGCCTTGAGTTATGGGGACCAACTTATGGGTGTTCCTGGTGACGGCTGAGCGCCTTGAGTTATGGGGACCAACTTATGGGTGTCCATGAGGTTGTGGCAGGTATAGGGAACTTCACTGTCACCTTGTCGGATTACTTGCCATGTCTATTCTAATGGCAGTCTTATGGCACTTATGGCCTTGTAAGGCGCCTCCTCTCCTTACCCAAGGATAGCAGACAGACTAAAAGTGTTCCACATTCGAGGGTTGAGTCCTAAGGATGTGCTGAGCCGCATGGTAAATCCCCTCCGGTTTGGTTCAAGCCTGGGTAGATTGATATGGAGGAGAAGTTGTTACCCATGCAGCAGGTCCCCCCCCCCCCTCTCTGAGCTGAGGTATGTGTACGTCACTGTGAGATAAAAGATAAACACTTAGATAAATAAACCTTATTGTTTTATCTTAGTTAGATAAAACACTTTTCCTCTTAGGTCCTGACGGCTGAGTGGTCAGCGCTCGGCATTCGTAGTCCTAAGGTTCCGGGTTCGATCCCCGGTGGAGGCGGGAACAAATGGGCAGAGATTGTTTCACCCTGATGCCCCCTGTTTACCCTAGCAGTTAATAGGTACCTGGGAGTTAGACAGCTGCTACGGGCTGCTTCCTGGGATGTGTGTAACA